TACAGCATGCAGTAAATTTATGAAGTATATTTAAAATCGCGACCAACTAATATTTAATTTATTATAACACAAATTTATTACATACGATCCCACACAGTAGTCGACAGTCACTCGGTGTTATGCTCACATTTTTACACAAAATACATACATGTAATAAATTTATTAAATATATTTAAAATCGCGAACAACTAATATTAAATTTATTATAAAACACATTCATTAGATGTGTCTGGTTGCGTGTAGCAAACATTTATTGGCTGCTTTGTATCTGAAAAATAAGTGAAATCGACTTTAGAAGTATTTGCGTGGATAAATTTCATGAAAATGGATTTATTGTTTAATTTTAAAAAAACGTACCCAGTTCCTCAAACTGGCTTTCCACAGTCATAGATGTGCCATCTTCTGGGTGCCTCATTTCATCTAAAAAATAAGTAACATTGAAGGGACAAATACGTTTGCATGTAAGTTATATAAAAATAAAACAGTACATATCCTTAGCCTTTAAAATGACGTCGTTCTTTACTGTGGAAAAAATACATACCTGTGTCCATCCATTTTCGTAGCAGTCCTGGTAAAGCCAATGTGGGGATACTGTTATATTTGAGATTTGTTCTATTATGAACGCCTGCGTATAGTGAATCCTGTGTGAAATGTAATTCACACACACGATAGTTATTACGTCTGGATGGATGGACGTCGATCAAATCAAGCCTGCATATGGCCAAACACCATTTTCTTCGTCTCTGAAATATAGTCAATTTTTTATATTTAAAAAATTTTTTAAAATCCTTCGATATACATTCCTATATTATTAAAGACTTCAATATATCCAAGTTTGAACAAAATCCGAAATATTACCCAAAAAGTGTCGGACTTCACGTAGAATGACCCTTCGTTATTATTTGGAGAAAATTTCTAATATGAATAAAATTACAAAAACTGGTTTTAAGTATAGTCTCACCTCTTTCTCCTTTGGTAAAACATACGTTTTTACTCTACTCTTAGCACTCCCGCAATTAGGTACACAGCAACGCACCATTGCCACCAATTTTCGGTCCTCCTGCAACAGAGAACACAATTTAAATGGTTTAAAATCCCCCCAGCGCCAAACGTGTTTTATCCACCGACTACATAGGACTACATAGAAGTATATGTGTCGAAAAATACGATTTCAGCGCTATTGGTGATAAGGGCCGGTAGCTTATGACTGACCATACTATTCTAATGGGAGTTAACAGGCCGTGGTGTGAATTCTGCATTTTTGATAGAATGAAACGACCGGTTTGATTAAAGAACCATATCGCCTGTATTGGCTGGAAGCATGGCTGGGCAAAGGTTGGTAAATACGCGTAACTGTCACAAATGTCATAAACATATTTACTTATTTGGTTGAAAAATTTTCATTCTTTTTTAATTGGAGGCTCATTTATGCGGTTCTAATCTCTTCACAGCTGTATTTTCCATATCACAGTTCTACACTGCAAAACGTTACATTTTCGTCTTTGTCATTCTTTCTCCTACTGAACCCCAAAGGTTCATATTGGTTATGTTATTTTCTATCACCTATTTTTTGAAAGTCGCAAATAATTTATACACCTGTATAATAAAAGTTAATTTGAGGTTATATTTCGTGTTGACTATTGTATCTACAATATTACATTTTCAACATTACATACGAAAAGGAGATATGTATTGTTTTTACTTTTTTGTAAAATGTTATTCTACTTTAATTGTTTAAACGTTGAAATAATTAATATTTCTATTTACGACATTTGCGATAAATGACACGTATATAATAGACTCAAAACCGATATAATTATACTTACATATACAACGTGTCGTAAAGACATGGTGTAGAATACGTTCCCACCTCTGTGACTGGGTGATATTAGTGTTGTATAAAGCTTGAGTCTTTGAAGCTGCAAAGCTTAGCCTTAGAGATTCAGTCTGTAATGCTAAAATCATATGAGGCTCGAGCTTCAAGGCTCGGGTCTCGAAACTCGAGGCTAACACGCTCACTGCCGACCGTGCTTCTGCTGGTTTTGTCTTCAGCGCCAAAGAGTGAGTGCCCATTAGAATCATATAATAATATATTACACAATATCATTATATGTATTATGCAAACTTATCATGCGTAGTACATTAATCTTGCTGCCGGTCATCTATGACTCCCACGGCGTAAGAGTATGTTGTCAGTCGATAATACTATGTTTTGAACATTACGGACAAATTTTTAGCAATGTTTTATTTCGTCTACTATTCAATGGTTATTTTGTTTCATTTTTCATTTCCCTTTCTTGGTATCAATCCCTCATGTGTTCGCAGACATGGCTGTATTTTTTAAAAACTGTCGAAAGTATAATATTATAGATTTAGTGTTAATTCCATTATTTAACACTTAAGGGTTCTAGAGGGTTGAGCCTTAAAGCTTCAAGACTTAATGTGGAATGACACAGTGACGATTGGAAAAAATTAAGTTTTTTTTTTTTTAATATTCTTTCAAAGTATAATCTTTCGAAACTATTCTACTAAAATATTAAGTCGAAATTCACGTGAATAACGAAAAAAATGTCCCAACTTTGTCTCTCAGATCAATGAACCGTGAACAAATTGAGAAACTATTTGTAATAAAAGAAAATTGAACGTATTGTCCAACATATATATTTGATCACCCTATCAGTAATAGTTTAATGAGGTTTGGGTGTTGCAGAACTTATTTACAAAAACCACGCTCTTCTGGACGTTTTTGGATTATTCCCCCTTGAAGCTTTTAAAGTTCGAGATTCGTGTAATATTAGAGTTAAAAACTGAAAACTTAGGTTAAGTTTTAAGACTTCGAAAACTCAAGCCTTGTACATCACTTCACTACATACAATTTATACGACTCGAGCTGTTAAAGCTCAAGACTCGAGGCTCATGTTAATAACATTAGGTGATATGGAACGCACCCCAAATTGATCACCTTTTTGCATTCGATGTCAGGGATTTTTGTCAGAATGAAATATGTTGTGGTCTATGCGAAATTCGGGGGGTTTAAGAAATTATTTTCCTATTATCACAATGGTTTAAAAAATACAGGCAGTTGAAGTTTGCAAAACTGTGGTACATTTACTAATTTTTATCTCAAACTGTTTACCGTATTGAGTCCACTCTGGCTTTATTTGGGTCTAGAATAATACCATATGTACAACGTACAAAAGTATACACAAAATTCTCCTTTTGCGAATTTCTTTAGGACGGTCGAAGTACTAAAAATTTGAAAAAAATATCCATGTTCATTGAAATCTTACCTACAGGATAAGCTGGTTTTCAAAATGGTGATATTCAAATTAACTCCGTAATGAGCTGTTGGTGATAGCATACACGTCTCAGTGATGTATTAATAATATTTAGTAGATAATTGATATCAGTTATATCTTGAGTTTACCGAATTTATTCTGTCATTTTCAAATATGTAATTATTATTCCGGGTTTAATGGTACCGTGGACAGTTTGGAAACTTTGTGGACGATAATTATATTACTAATATCACCTTTAAAATTTGACCCAATACTGATAGATCTAGTTAAAACTGGCTTCGTAACAAATAAAGAGAATTTAGTGAATTTGACACATCACGTCAGCGATTTCGGTCTTCGCTTAGTTAGAGTAAACGGCCACGTGATTGGAGTATCTGTTTATAGAGTTACAATGCGCACAAAGCCGAGAATGGCATTTTGGGGACAAAATCAAGTTCCTACGCTCGCAATGTTTATTTGAATGGGCGAGAATTTCTTTACGAATATTAAATTTGATTACGAAAGTCAAAATAAACATAACGAAGGTACTGTTGGCTTACACGCTCGCTTTGCGGCAGTATCGACAATCCCTGGCCCCAGAATTTTGCACAGCTTACCACTATCATAGACAGAAATGTTTCGTAAAACTTACTCATGTGATAAACACTGCTCTATTGTCAGTGTAGTGCAATAATTTCGACTGCTATCCTTTGCCACTCTCTACACACAAGTCCATTATTTACAGCAATCCTATTTATCCTGATTCATCTTTATCCTCTTCTGATGGAAGAAACCCATCACCTTCACGTAGTTTCCATCAAGCCATGACACTGTTGTTTTCATATAGATAATAAACAAACAAACCAACTAATATGTTTACACGTGATTATCATAGAAAAAGCGTCATTGGCCAAGAGTGGGTCAATAAAAATGTCCTCCAGATGTAAATCACATCAATTGTCTTCAAATTTCTAGACCCCTGACCATCCGAGTGAAATGTACAAAACAAAAATTTAGAAATTTTCCATGTTACAAACATGATTTTCTAGATCAAATTAACAGAAGAATGGACTTCAATGCGATAAACAGTTTCCGAGATAAAGATTCACAAGTGCACCTCGGTTTCACGAAAATAGACAAAAATTGCAAACATTGACGTTCTGGATTTTTTCAACAAATGCTATACAAGAAAAATAACGACGTGAACCACTCCCTAATTTAGCGCGGACCACGACATATTTAATTTTGACCAAACACGATTGGGGTGGAATGACCCCAACTTTGTTCAGGTACAAAGGTTTCACCAAGAAACAAAAGATAATGTAAACTACTCAGTTTTGAAACGAAAGTTGCTGAGTCGTAACGACAGAAATCTGAAATACGTATCCCCCAAACCTAATTTTTAAAATTCATTTCCCGCTATAGACCCGAAAGTTGTCTGACGTTATATCGAAGTCTCGGTAAATTTTTATTGTTCAACAGTTTTCTAGAGACTTTCTGCATTTATTTCTAAAGAAAATATATTAATGATTCAACTAACGAGTAATATTTCATTTCTATATTCTTCGTCCCAATCACTGCGCTTTGTACCATCAATTCTGCTTTCTCTGTCCAAAATCGTACACAACAGCACTCTTTTTGTTCTAAAACTGCGAAAAGAAATATTACTTTATAATCTAAATTTTCTTTAATGTGTTTGACAACATTTCCTTTAATCTTCAGGAATCAGCGAACAAATAATTTAATCAACACAGAGAAAACTGATGATGCCCACATCTTAAATGAAAAACCAGGACCGTTTAGACCTACGAATTTACCACACTCTAATAGATCGATTCAGAATGAACATCAAAAGGATATATTCAGTAAGCGCTTCGTAATCAACGACAAAGAAAGTTATTCATTACCTGCTCCCGAAACAATGTTCAATGATCCAATATGGAAAGTCGATAAGTTACAAGAATTGAAAACTGAGCTGATTACTGTGAGAAATTATATACGTACTTACAATTTTACCGAGTGGTATTTGCACACGCAACTGAGATGCAGGGCAAGGGATATCCTGACACGCCTGAGAAGAGACGTTCAACCAGAGATGTTAAGTCGTGAATGGGCCAAGTTTTATGAAATGGTATCATCATTTCCTCTGGTACCTATAACTCGCATTGACGGTAAAAATAAACACTTTAAGTCTGTCCATTTATGCGAAGCACCAGGAGATTTTATTTTATCTTTAAATCATTGGTTAAAAACAAATGTACCTAATGTTCAATGGGATTGGATTGCTACATCGTTCAACCCATATTATGATGGCAATGAATTGTCTTCAACATGCATGGACGACCGATTTATAAGACATACATTAAGACACTGGTGTTTTGGTGATGACGCCACTGGAAACATTATGAATTTACAAAATTTGGATAAGCTGATAAAATTCTCCGAGCCACACAGTGATATATTTTTAATTACTGCCGATGGCTGTGTGGATTCTACGGAAATTCCAGGGGAACAAGAAAATATGCTAACACATTTAAAATTTTGTGAAATTATAGCTGCTCTGCATCTACTGCAGAGTGGTGGCAGTTTTTTATTAAAATATTTCACTGTTTTTGAATGCCATTCAGTGTGTCTGATTTATCTTCTATGTTGCTGTTTTAATGAAGTTAGCATAATAAAGCCAGCTACAAGTAAAGAAGGAAATTCCGAGACTTTCCTAGTGTGCACAAATTTTAAAGGATCGTCGTATTTTTTACCTTATTCAGAGAAACTTAGACAACACTATGAATGTGGTCCTAAAAACGCAATATTTAATAAGAATGATATTCCATCTGCATTTATCGAACGAATTATAGAGGGCAGCGAATTCTTCGTAAATCACCAAAGTTCAGCCACACTGAATCAGATTTTTTTATTTAATTCAAGTGATTCTAGGGAGTTGCATGACATGAAACACATTCAGCGTACGGTTGCTGACAAATATATTAGACTTTGCAATTTGAAGAAATTAAGATCGGGAGAAATTGTGGGAATTACGAAATTAAACGCATGCCGTAGTACTAAAGTAAGTAATGCGTTCCATTTGTTCGAGTCATCTCGTAAGGAACGTTGCAAGCGAAAACTTGCAGCGCAATGGGACGAGTTGAAAGATCTTTTTTATGACTCTACTAAAATAGAAATTAAAATACCATCTGATAAACCTGTACAGGTAATCAATTTTTCTTTACCGGAACTAAAAGAAGACGTGTCTTTACAGTACAAATTCATTTTTTTTATAGTTCGACGCTATGGAATTGCCAGAGAATTTGCAAATTACTACAGGAAAATTGTTTCATAGAATATGTAGTTCAAAATTCTGTAATGATAACATCCTAAACATACAAACCAGCGTTCATGACATTCTTGTTGACATGGGACTAAACGTACAATTTCCATCTATAGAAACTATAAACGAATTGAGGAATGACGTTCTTAGCCAGTCAGGACATCAAATTTTAATTTTTCAGTATACAGATGTTCATGATAGTCACAATATAATTAATAAGACATATGATGCAGTGCAAAACCTCGATCTTGGAGACACTTTAGTTTTAACTGGTTACTCATTACTTACTTATTTGAATGTTGGACTCCTTTATCTCGTGAGCTGTGCGTTTGAAACGCTTAAAATAACTCTTTGTGGCAAAACGGGTGCAAAAATTACCTTTGAGTACTATAATAACAATATGCAGGTACTAAAATACTTAGCGGACATTAAAGCTGTTTCTCTTAGTGTTCAGGAGACAGGAAATTCTGTTCTACACGTAATTCCTCCACTGTTTCTATACGGTAAGATTAAATTTAAATGTATGTTCGCCATACCATGTTATCTGCCAAATATATTTGTTTTTCCAGATTGTTATCTATTTCAAACAATAGTGGCTATTAATCATTGGGTTAGTAGATCATATGTTAATTGTGTTATGAATACAGTAAAAGGAAATATGATTAACTGAAACAAGTTACATATGATGTGTAATGAAATCTTATGTACGTATTTTGTAAGATGTAAGCGGCCAAAGTTGTGTAGTAGCAACAATACATCTCCGAGTACAATAAATGATTTATGTACCTTTCGAAATGGTATATCTTCTTCTTGTACATTTATCATCATAGTTAGTGTTCTATATTCAAAAGTAACAGTTCTTGTTTGCCATCTTATTACTAATTTTCTTTTGTTTGCATACAAGCAGCAGTTAAATATTAATTTTATTTTACAATATACTGTTGTATGTCAGTACGAATTACTAACATGAAAATTGATAGACTATACTTGACGAACATGTTAGCCTGTGTTCAACCAAACGAGTTGTACCCAAAGTTTGTAGTGTTGGCATTGGATCGTCAGGCTTTTATACTGCGCAGCATTTATTCAACGCACATAAGAAATTCAATATATGCACTGTATTGGTGATAATGATTATTTGTTGCAGAATTTCAATGATATATGTGGATGCGTCATAAAAATAATCAGTACTATTTTGATCGATATCTGTTTGTGTAGCTCCAGATAATCCAGAAGTGAAAAAATATTAATCACGCTTTTGAGTAAGCAGCATCTAATCCACGCTTTCAGTTTATAGAAAAGGTTAACGTATAGAAAGCTGTTATCATAAATCAATTACGATAAATTTATCATGCTGTTTTGTTAGTATGCACAATGAACATGTTATTTACTTTCATTCAACTTTAAAATATTCTATTTAATAATATGTTATTGCAAGTGTATGGTGCAAAAACAATGATGAATCCCATATACACGGAAAAAAATTTTAGTAATGTAATATCTGAACAACGTTGCGTTGGTTGGTACAATGGCGTACCAATAGTGAGATTAACTCATGTGTAGAAAAAGCAGTTGGTGCATTCCATTCTTTTTGGAGTAACATTTCGGGTTTTGTTGACACTTGGATATGTTGTAGTCTTACACACCCACATACACACACACACATCTACTTACATACACGCTCACTAACTTACTCACTCACAAACACATACTCACATACACACACCCACAAGAACTCACACTTACACTTCACCTTGCGACCTCGAACGATCCCCTCTCCGCCTATGGCTAAAGCGGAGAGGTATTTTTACCAGGCCTTCACTTGACAAGGGGGCTCTGTCAAGTGTGACCTCTTTTCCCACCATCAACTACAGGCCATGGCAGCCAAATATGAAACAAGTAAAAAACGGACTGGAATACACGGCGACGACATGGCAAACGAATTAGGACAACGAGACATATTACCTATCAACCCCCAGGAGATCACTATAACAGCCATTAAGGAAACGCGCTCCTTGCGTTCTGGCACCATTCCTAAAAGAACTGCATCAAAAAGCAATATAACTCCGAATCGAGGTAGCTTCTCCGACATGGAAGAAGACTCCTCCACATCGCAGAAGAACATATCACTTTCAAACAGGCTAAAGAAAAATAAAGAGAAATACTCACCAAGCAAAGAACCGGACCTTAATAAATCTATTACCTCAAAAGAACATGTATCATTAAAAGAAATTCTTTCAGGACCTCTTCCCCACACCTCAAAGGTGATAAACTTTTCTACAGATACTGAATCTACTTCAGAAGTAGATTCGCAGTCTTACAATAAACCAGTTATAGTAACTTCCAATATTACAAATCCAGAACTCACAATAGATTCGCTAGACGAGAGTCGGCTAAAATGTCGAAATCCTTATTCAAACCTATTTTGAAAGGTGTTTTAAAAGACATTTCTGCAGTATTTAACATTAATAGAAACGCTCATCACCTGCACACTTTAGAAGAACAGGCAAGAAAATTAAAAAACAATAGCAGAATATTATTAGACCAAGCCACACAGATTTCTCCTGACAGATTCACCATGGATAAACAAATACCCTCCACCCAGCGAAGATACTCATCAACTAGAATTCTAAATATCCCCCCCACATCAGAAGAAGACTTGCACCGAGACTCGACCGTCACACCTACCTACGCATCAGTTGCAGTTCAACAAAAAAAGCATAACCTAATAAAAACAAACAACACAACTACCAACATCAGCAACAAAAAACAGGTACATCAACAACAAAAAAAGACCGATATAAATAAACCCATAAATAGTAACAAAAAGAACAAGAGCAAAAGTATAAATCTTCTGAAACACAATGCTATTATTATCGAAGCTAGTCCTGAGTTTACATATTCCGATATATATGCAGATCTGAAAAAAACAATAACAGGTACAGAAAGAAATAATATAAACTTATTAGGCATAAGAAAAACTATGAGAGGCCATCTATTACTTGAACTCAATAGAGGAGACTCAGATGCCACCATAAAAACCATTACAAAAATTTTTAATAATAAAACCTCAGTTAAAATAAAACAACCTATAATGAATATCGAGATGAAGGGACTAGACCCCTTTATCTCAAAAGAAGAAATTCTAGACGACATCAAAACTTCTTTACAGGCAGGAAACGCAGAAGAGATCACCGTCCGTTCAATAAGAAGATCCTACACAGACTCCCAAACGGCAATAGTTTCACTTCCAGCTTACTACAAGAACAAAATAAATAACAGTAAAATTATTAAAATCGGCTTTATCAAACCTAAAATCAGCTTTTTACCTAACATAGTCAAATGTTTTAAGTGCCACAGTGTTGGACACATCGGTATCAAATGTAAATTTAAAAACATAATTTGTAAAAGATGCGGTTCGGACCAGCATCCCATAGAAAATTGTACCTCAGATATGGACTGTCACGTGTGTAAAGAGGCTGGACTACCCAAATCAGATAGAGAGCATGCGATTGGAACGTTCAAATGCCCAACCTTCAAGGAATATTACAAAAAGAAGAAAAACGCAATAAATTAATGAAAATAATACACCTCAACATAAATCATAGCTTAACCTCTTTTGACACCATCAAAGGTATAGCTACTGAATATAAAACAGACATTGTATCTATAGCGGAAATTTGCAATTACAATATAAATACTTTAAAAATCTGTAAAAACAATAGACTCGACTCTTGCTTAGCCAGCCAGGATAATATGTCACTCATTTTGCAATTATCGGACATAAGAACCAACGGACGCATTGACAAACTGCTCTCACATGACGGTCTCATTGCGGTCAAATATCGTGACTGGATTATTTGCTCTGGCTACTTATCACCTAATGCAACGAATAACCAGGTTCTACGGTATTTAGACGATATAGACTCGATATGTAGACTGAATCATAAAAATATAATATTTATAGGTGACTTTAATGCTAAATCCCCCCTCTGGGGTAAAAATCCCACTACCGACGCTCGCGGATCCTTATTTATAGACCTTATTTCCAGGCATAATTTAACCATAATAAAGCCCACAGGTTATTATTCTTTTGAGAGGAACACCGCAAGATCAACTCTCGACTTTGCATTTGGCAAATGGGACAAGAGCATCTCTATAACTGGTCATATTCCTAACATATATACGGCCTCCGACCACTACCCGATCATACTAGAAATCACAACCATAAAAATACCACATACAATAAAACTTACTAGATGTTATGCAAAATCGAATCAGCTGTCATTCACTAATACACTACAAAGAGAATTAAATAAACCTCCGCTAACACAATTTCATTCGTACTATGCTCTAAAAAAAGCTGCAGAACTTTCAGTACCAACTATTCGTATAAATTCAAAATTTAAACCAGTTCACTGGTGGAACGCAGAAGTAAAAAAGGCCAGAAACACCGTCCATGCCGCAAGACGACGCTTAACCAGAGCAATTAAAAAAAATTCACCCGAAATTCCAACTCTTAAAGCACATCACAGACTTATGCGCAACAACTACAAACGTACTATCCTGGACAACAAGGAAAAATCCTGGAGAAATTTCATAGGCACCCTGGATGACGATCCCTGGGGTAGACCTTACATATCGCTCGTCAAGGACATCAACAGGTGGAAAACACTCGATCCTTATTTTGAAGAAGCACAAATCATCGAAAACGCAATAGATAACCTATTCCCTAACTGTTCATATATACACAATATACCAAACATAACAATAGAACCGAAAACCAATTTCACCAACAATTACACAAACCCAACAATAGAAAAGTTCATAACCCCCGACGCGTGTTTGGATAACCTACCGGATTTAAACTTAATTAACAACGAGGATCTAAATAAAATCATTAACAAACTTTCCAATAAAAAAGCTCCTGGTCCGGATGGCATAACGAACAATATGATTAAATACATTCACAAATTATACCCTACCTTCTTCCTTGACATGTTCAAGAGTGTTATCAAGATTGGTCATGTTCCCACTGCTTGGAAGTTAGCCAAAGTGGTCCTGATCCCCAAATCTAAAAAAAAAAAGTGACTTTAGACCGATTTCTCTCACTTCGTCTGTTTCAAAGGTTTGGGAGAGACTTATGGTCTCTCTACTTGCCAAATATCCAGGATCTGTCTTTAATAATCATCAATACGGTTACACAAAAAACAAATCAACGTTAGATGCTCTGGAGGAAGTCGCCTCATTGTACTCTCAGTGCACAAAAAACAGTAAAATTTTAATCGCACTCTCCGTGGATGTAACTAACGCGTTTAATACACTTACAATTGATAGCATTGCCGAGCAAATGGTTAAAAGAAAAATTCCACTTTGGATATCAGGACTTTTGGTTGACTTTCTGCAGAATAGACTTATCTATGTAGAAAATTCTAACAACAAAATCTGTAGGCGTACATGCAATGGTGTACCCCAGGGTTCCGTCATAGGACCCATCACATGGAACTGGGTATATGATGACCTCCTAAACCTGGTCATAGACAAAAAAACCACACCTGTAGCCTATGCAGATGATCTTCTTATACTTGTACACGCATATAAATGGACAGATGCAGAAAAAGCGCTTTCTATTGCATTTAAAACTACGCAAGAGTGGATGTCCAGTAAAGGACTCAAAATAGCCACCCAAAAAACATACGCAATGATCCTAGCCGGACGCAGTTATAAAGATAAAATTAGTATAAATATGCAA